AATGTAATTTGATGATTATCGGGTTTATCGGGCCGTGTCGTCGTGTTATCGCGTCGTACCGCAGTGTTATTGGGTGTTGTCGTCGTTTTATTGGGCCATGTCGTCATTTTATCGGGTCGTGTCGTCAATTTATTCGGTCATGTCGTCGTTTTGTGACAGAGTCACTTAGGCTTATTTTCTACTTAAAACATGTTGTTCTGTTTATTTTATTTTCTGGAATTTTAGCGATTTGTCAGTAATGTTAGTAATGTGTTAATTGTGTTAGTAATGTGTTAACTGTATTAGTAATGTGTTAATTGTATTATTCCTTTAACTGCCGATTTCCCTTATGTAATTCCTGTTTAACTGCCCATTTCCCTTATTGTCATTTTATCGGGCTATGCGCCTTCAGAACGTCTCAACTGCAGTCGCACCCAAAAGATTAATACACAGGCTCTCATCTTCTCACACAGAGCCTCACATTCGTTTATCGTTCTCTACCCTTGTTTGCGTTTCGCTCGTTTCGCGCGGGTATTTGTCTTGTCAAAATGGACAAGGGGAACGACCAGGGCCAGAGCTTTATAAATGACGTAATGGCCATCATGAGGTCGGCGATTGATGAACTTCATCGCCTAAGATCATCCCATGGAAGTTCATCAATCAGCTCATCAAGTTCAAATTTTAATTCCTCTGGCTCTGTACAAAGTAAAGAATATCAAAACTTGGTCTTCCTTTGCATCCAGAATATACTTTTTCTGGTTTGTAACCCGAATAAACGTCTTTATCGAGCTGTACAATGATGTTCTGTGCATATCGGAGCTTTTCTATAACAGAATTCACTGGAATGTCAACATCTGGTTTGGCTTGTGTATATCGACTCAAAACTCCTAAAAACCAATCGAGACGAAATTTTACGCTATCTAACTGATCTTGTCCAACACTGTGCCTCTCCAATTGCGAGACTAAATCGAGAAGAAACCTTTTTCCATACAACCGTAGGGCTTCCATCGACGTTTCCATCTTGTACTTTGACAGTATGTGGTCGTGAGAGCCTGTGTACTAATCTTTTGGGTGCGACCGCAGCTAAGACGTTCTGAAGGCGCATAGCCCGATAAAATGACATAACCCGATAAAACGACATGACCGCATAAATTGACGACACGACCTGATAAAATGACGACATGACCCGATGAAACGACTGAAGCCGGAAAGCCCGATAAAACGACGACGTGACCGAATAAATTGACAACACGACCCGATAAAATGACGACATGGCCCAATAAAACGACGACAACACCCAATAACACTGCGGTACGACGCGATGACACGACGACACGGCCCGATAAACCCGACAATCATCAAATGACATTTTTGAACCTATTCACCCTTCATACAAGAGAGTATAAGAAATCTACCGGGTTTTGCTAGGGATTTTCCGACATTTGTAAAAAAGTAAGTACCTCTAAGTACGCACATTATTAAATTAGTTGATCTGTAAAGTAACATTTAGTAGATAGTGAGATTTGTTTATCTCAGGACTATAAATACATCGGAGTTGTGGACGAAGTTTTAAAAATACACTTAGTTACCTCAAGCCTAATTGATTTGGGAAGTCATGGTCAAAGCTAGGCTCGTGGCTGAAAGTTGTCAATTTCCAAAAATATTCAACACTGTTCGATTGATTTCGACAAAAGCTTGATATTACAAGTTATCTCAGATCAACAATGTTATTCACCGACATTAGATTCTGGTGATCAGCTCCAGTGAGTCCAAAATGCAAATTTATCGACAGCTACGTATTGTAACTAGAATAAAATTAAAATTCTGATCTTCGACTAATCTCGACAGCAATCTCGGACAGAAGCAAACCTCTAACATTAACTGGGAAAGCATTAGCGTTTCTAGCGTTCCGAAGCAAGAAATCCTTCATCGAAGGAAGCATAATGAATAAACACTCTTGTATCAACAAAAGAATAATCACTCGTCAAAGCAAAGTGTCGTGTTCTATTTTGATAAGGAAACAACTGTAACCTTCTTGGAGCGGGCGAACTACAAATAAGTCAGGGTTTTATTCTGCTCAAAGTTCTTTCATCACGAAACCCGCGTTTCTCTACTAAAACGGGACCGAAGCTCTGCGTGACGTCGCGCTAGTCTATAGTGACGCTTTTATTTCACCCGACATCAAGATCATTGATATAATAAACATCACGCAATCTCTTAAGCAAAGGTGGGGTTAAATATCAGCCACCGCCACAATAGTGTGACAAACCCACTAAGACGACCGCAGAGCTTGGAGATCACTAGTAACAAACCTAATAGAACGGTAACGATGCGAGCCCATGACTGACCAACGTTTTGTTCAACATGAAAACGAT